ATATTGAAGAAGTGAAGAAAATAGTGTTGGGAAATCGTCGAATTACCATTAGAGAAATTGCTGATGATATTGGCATCTCATTTGGTTCATGCCAATCAATTTTGACGAGTGTTTTAGACATGAGACGTGTGTCAGCGAAGTTTGTTCCGAAATTGCTCAATTTCGACCAAAAGAAACGTCGCATGAGCATCGCCCAAGAGCTACTGAATGACGTCAACGATGATCCAGATTTACTCATCCGGGTTATAACAGGTGACGAAACATGGGTATACGGTTATGACGTCGAGACTAAGACTCAATCGTCCCAGTGGAGGTATTCTGGATCACCAAGACCAAAAAAAGCACGCCAAGTTCGATCAAATGTAAAGGTTTTGCTTACAGTTTTCTTTGACTACAGGGGCGTGGTGCATCATGAGTTCTTGCCACAGGGTAGAACAGTAAATAAGGAATATTACCTGCAAGTTATGCGCAATTTGCGCGAAGCAATCCGCCAGAAACGTCCGAATTTGTGGAAAAATAAAAATTGGCTTTTGCACCATGATAACGACCCTGCTCACACATCGTTGCTTGTGCGCGAATTTTTGGCTAAAACCAACACAGTAACGATACCACAGGAACCGTATTCCCCAGATCTGGCCCCCTGTGACTTTTTCTTGTTCCCAAAACTGAAGAGGCCCATGAAAGGACGACGTTTTGCCACGATTGAGGAGATAAAGACAGCATCGAAGGATGAACTAAACAAGATCACAAAAAATGATTTTTTGAAATGCTTTGAGGATTGGAAAAAGCGTTGGTACAAGTGCATAATATCCGAGGGGGAATACTTTGAAGGAGATAAAATAAAAATTGATGAATAAATAAATATTTTTTGAGAAAAATAAAAATTCACCTTACTTTTTGATCACACCACGTATAAGAGGACTTAATAACTGAGAAAGCATCATTTACAAAAATAATAAAAAATAGAGGACCAAGGTGCGAGCCCTGTGGCACCCCAGAAGCAGCTAAGTACGAAGAAGAGACAAACTTTTGAAGTTTTACGGAGTATGATCTATGGGATAAATAAGAGAAACACCAGGAGAGGAAAGGACCATGGACGCCATAAAATGATAATTTAGCTACTAATAGTTGATGATTGACACTATCAAAGGCGCTTGTGAGATCAGTATAGATAGCATCTACTTGAAATTAAATGATTAAAAAATAACACAGGCCCACAAAAAAAAATGAACTTGGATGTCCATCGACAAAACCCATGTACTCCTACGTATTTTTGCGCGCTGAGTCCGAATCTGGCATTCGTTTAACCTCAGCACGTCGGGTTCAAGGGCATTTGAAGGTCACATTGCAGAAATCAGCAATAACTAATACAAGACATCTGTCTGTTAAGTTTTTGGGGTCGCTGAGTTTAAATCCGGTATTTGTTTTTCTCCATGAGGTAAGTTTGAAGGTTAGTTCAAGGTCAAAGCTGTTTACTCTAGGAAAAATGAATTTTTGACTGCAGATTCTGAAAGAGCGGGAAATTTTACGTCCAGATACATATTCAATTTTTTTTAATATAACCCTCAAGGTCATGTGAAGGTCACTTAATCTTGTTGGATGGAGGATTCGTATGACAATAAGATAATGGAATTTCATGGGGCAAACTACCATGTCGTTATGTTTTCAGGGTCGCCGAATCCAAATCCGCGGTGTTCGTTTGTCTCCATCAGGCCGCATTGAAGGTCGTTTAAAGGTCAAATCCTCGATAATTAGTGAAATCTAGTCAAGTTATCATTCGAACATATTTTTTGAGCATCTGAACCCAAATATAAAGACCGCTTAATACCTCAGGGTCAAAATCAAGGTCATCCCAAGGTCAAATATACATTTTTTTTATTAAAAAAAGGAAATTTTGACCACAGTTGCATGAAAAATAGAAAATTTCACATATTAGTGAATTATGTGCCATAAATTAGTATTTGAGAAAAATACTGAAGCTGACTAATCGTCGCATGACAAACAGCCACATATGGAGACATGGGTATCATGTATTACAAAACTCATGATTTTCTTTTTTTTCTTGTTCTTTTATCTTCGAATGATCTATGTAGGGGATTCCGCTTTCGTTTCTTTCCGTCGATAATATGTTCTCTTTTCAATGTCCAACAAAAGTCCGCTATCATATTTATGTCCCACCGGCCCTGGTATCGCTGTTCTATTACTTTAATATCTTGGTGAAACCGTTCCCCTTGTTCTTCGCTATAATCTCCAAGATTTTGTGGAAAGTAGTCTAAGTGTGAATGAAGAAAGTGTAGCTTGTAATTCATCAAGCAACCCAAACTATTGTAATTTTTAAGTAAGTCTTCAACTAGTTTTTTGTAGTTCTCGCTCTTGTGATTCCCTAAGAAATTTTCCACTACATCCTTGAAGCTAATCCATGCTGCTTTCTCTTTATCGTCCATCTTGTCTATGAATGCTTTATCCTTTAACAATGTGCGGATTTGGGGACCGTCAAATATACCTTCTTTCAATTTAGCGTCAGATACTCTTGGAAATTTTGTTCCCAGGTACGAGAAACATAGCCCTTCTTTATTCAACGCTTTAACGAATTGTTTTATTAAACCAAGTTTAATATGGAGAGGAGGAAGAAGGACCTTGGATGGCTCTACTAATGGCTTGTTAATGATGTTATCCTTACGGGGTTCGAACGTTGATCTATCAGGCCATTCTGCTTTTACATAATGATTCTTACGATCCCTGCTATCCCACATACATAAGAAACATGGAAACTTTGTGAAGCCTGATTGCTGACCTAGCATGATGGTAAGAATCTTGAGATCACCACAGATTAGCCAGTTGTGTTTCTTGTACTGTATTTTATTTAATACCAATTCAACATTTTTGTAATCTTCTTTCAGGGTAACCGAATGGGCCAGAGGTATTGCAGAATATTTATTAGTGTTATGTAATAATACAGCCTTCAGGCTTCGCTTAGAAGAATCCAGAAATAATCTCCATTCCTCAGATTTATAAACATCCTTCTTAAATTCGTTCATCAGATCCTTAACATTGTTGCAAAATACGAGATCATTCTCCGTAGAGAAATATTTTCTGAAGTCTTTTTCTCTATTCCGATAGTAAGAACATTTAGTACCTTTCGCCAGTAAATTTTTTTCCTTCAACCTCGAAGCAAGCAACTCTGCTCCCTCCTTTGATAAGCCTAACTCTCTAACTAGGTCATTAAGTTCTTTCTGATCAAATTCTCCTTTTATCTTTGTTTGTGATCCAGATGGCACATACTCGTCATTACTCTCGTCCGTTTCTTCTCTTTCACTCTCGGCCTCATCAGAACTAGAAATCTCTAATTCAGTAAGTGCAGAAGAAAGGTCACTTTCTACATCTGTATCTCTTTCTTCTGTTGGAGCTATAAACGGCTTGATTACACTAGACACACTCGCGTATACAATTTTGTGGACATTAGATGAGTTAAAACCTATAGTTTTTGTCATACAAAAATAACAATTCTCTACATTTTCTGGCTCACTCCAAACCATAGGTTTGACAAATTTTAATGGAGTTTTGTCCTTTTTGTACCGGCTAAACATCAGCCTACAGCTATTGCATATCAATTGTGGCAGCCAATCTTGCTCACCATCAGTGACTTTACAACCGAAACACTCATCGTATACTAGTTTCAAATCATCTGTGAATTTGCGAAGATCCGACTTTTTCAAAAAGTATTTGCCACACACATAGCAAAAGGAATTCACTTTTTGCTTACAACTATGAGAATTAGAGCGTATTCTTGTATTGTTGTACTCTACAGAGACCAAGTTTCCAACCACTGTAGAGCTGCAGTCGCATGATGACGACGATTGCGGACCTGCTTGCTCATCCTGACCAATCGCCGATACTGGGCATCCGAAACCCTGCATCGTACCTCTTCGTGTGCCAACCATGACGGCATCATGCCTTCACCCCAGGGTTTTGTCGGAAAACAAAAAGCCAAAAAAAAAGCCGTTTTCCGCCGTCACCACGTGGAGGTACCCTGGGTTGCGGCACACGATTATTTCGGGAGTGTGATCAAAAAAATAAGTAACGATCACAGCTAGATGTAAGATTTTCCATTTTCTCTGAATCTGTGGTCAAAATTTTCTTTTTTTAATGAAAAAATGTATATTTGACCTTGGGATGACCTTGATTTTGACCCTGAGGTATTAAGCGGTCTTTATATTTGGGTTCAGATGCTCAAAAAATATGTTAGAATGATAACTTGACTCGATTTCACTAATTGTCGAGGATTTGACCTTCAAACGACCTTCAATGCGGCCTGATGGAGACAAACGAACACCGCGGATTTGGATTCGGCGACCCTGAAAACATAACGACATGGTAGTTTGCCCCATGAAATTCCATTATCTTATTGTCATACGAATCCTCCATCCAACAAGATTAAGTGACCTTCACATGACCTTGAGGGTTATATTAAAAAAAATTGAATATGTATCTGGACGTAAAATTTCCCGCTCTTTCAGAATCTGCAGTCAAAAATTCATTTTTCCTAGAGTAAACAGCTTTGACCTTGAACTAACCTTCAAACTTACCTCATGGAGAAAAACAAATACCGGATTTAAACTCAGCGACCCCAAAAACTTAACAGACAGATGTCTTGTATTAGTTATTGCTGATTTCTGCAATGTGACCTTCAAATGCCCTTGAACCCGACGTGCTGAGGTTAAACGAATGCCAGATTCGGACTCAGCGCGCAAAAATACGTAGGAGTACATGGGTTTTGTCGATGGACATCCAAGTTCATTTTTTTTTGTGGGCCTGTGTAATTAAATTAAAATAAATCTACTTGAAATCAAAAGCATCAACAAGAAATTCTACGAACTCTGCAAGGTTGGTGACTGTGGAACGGTGGGGAACAAAACCATGCTAGGAGACATTAATAGAGCGAAGAAGGAAGGGTGATAGTTTGATGGACACCAGACGATCGAACAACTTGGAGAGGACATTCAACATTCTCCTCTCTTGTCACCACGCTTCTTGTAAACTGGAATAACAAAAGCCTGTTTCCAGGCCGATGGAAAGGTGCCTGTACGTAAAGATAAATTCATAATATAAAGAATCGGTTGAGCTAAATTATGAGCACAGTTAATAAAAAAAGTCGACGGAATCCCATCAGGCCCAGCCGCGAACGATGGTTTAAGGCCGACAAGCCCAAGCTTCACATCCTCGAGCACGAACAAAATTTCAGACAGCGCCTGTGAGTCGAAGGAAAGCCCATTAAAGCCATCCCGAAGAGAGGCCGCAGAAAAAACCGATGAGAATCGATCCGCAAATAAATTAACAATATCCTGGCCATGATGTGCAGCAACATCATTAAAATACATATTATCTGGATAACCAGAGCGACCATCCTTACAATTTGCAAACTTCCAAAATTCTCTCGGATCAGACTGCAACGACTCTTCAACGTTATCAATATACCGGCCATAATCACGTAACGCAAGGCGCTTACAAGCCGTCCTGAAGATCCTGAAGTCATGCAGTGCACCACCATCCCCCGTAGCCTTAAATGTCCGATGGGCCAACTTCTTCTGAGAGACTGCAGATCTCAATTCCGCAGACATCCAATTCGGGAATTTAGCAACAAAAGAGCCCATTAGAGGTACATTGCAGCCAATAATTTCAGACAACTTTCTGTAGAAACCACCAACCACCATGTCGACATCCTGCTGGTGGCCATCAAAAAGATCATCCCAATCAGTAGATACCAGAGATGAATTAATATTACTATAGTTGGCCTTTTTGAAATTGAAGGAGATAAGAGCACTATGAGGTAAAGAGTCAGGCGAAGTGGCTACATCGAAGTTGACATCAATGACCAAAGGCTCATGGTATCTGTCGGACGGTGCATGCGGATCCACTGATGCACAAAGGAACGCCGGAATACTGCAAAAGGTCAAGTCAAGAGTATTTCCCGAACTATTCCGATACTGGACGAGCTGAGCACACTTAAGAGAGCCCATGCAATCCTGTAATCGTAATGCTGAATTACGAATGGCCCCACTCGCAGTAGCATCAGCCGAAAGCACACCATCAACAGCGGTCCACGAGCAACGTGGCAGATTAAAATCACCCATAACGAGAACGGCAGACCCCGGAAATCTGGCAACTGACTCCTCCAATGAACAACAATAGGAGTCCATAGATGATTCAAAAGTCACAGTTGAGAGAAAAGAAACAGGTGGCAAATAGGCAACAGACAAAATGATGGGTGCTCCGTAATCAAGCTTGAGAATGACATGCTCCAAATTAAAGTTTACGACTTGAAGAGATTGAAAAGAGCATGCATCCTCCAGCCAAACAAGAATTCCGCCTCCTCTTGACTTGCCACTCCGAACGGCACAACGATCCAGTCTCACGAGCGAATAGCCAGGAATTCTCAGCAAAGCATCCTCCACAGTGTCATCCAACTAAGATTCGGTCAGGGCAATAATGTTAAATTTCTGTGCTGAAGTAATAACGTTATGAACAAAGCAAGTAATTGATGATTTGATACTGCCGATATTTTGGTAGTAAATAGACAGTTGTTTTGAAATCTTGGCTGCATCTACGCGTTTTTTGACGAGGAAATACCGGGGATGCCATTCATAAACTTAAGTTTAGGACCATTTTCACCACTTCACACCAGGAACTGATTTAAAAATATCCGGAGAGTGCCGCATGATCCATTGGACGTCAGCAGCAGAACGAAGAACAATCTTTAATGGTCTAATTCTACCATCGACCTTCTTTCCAAGGCGCAAGGTAGTCATACCAGAGGTGTCAAACTTCAAGCCAACAAGAAGCGCAGACAATGCCATTGTATCCTGTGACGAAGAAACATTCTCCGGGAAATTGTAGAGAATACAATTACACTCTCTTCTTCTCTGCTCATACATTTCCGCAAGAGTGGCGTCATCGATCATGGAAGAAGAGTCATCAAGTCTACTCTCCACCGCAGAGACTCTATCCTCAATACCATCAATGCGGGCAGCCTGAATGGGGATTGATGATAACTCCTGCCGCATCAAAACAATTTGGGCCTCCATGGCTTCCGACCGAGCAATCAGGCTGTCTGCAGCACGCTGCAGACCATCACATCTTTCCGTGAGCAGACCAAACATGCCCGCCAACTTGCCTTCAAAGTAATCACGGACATCATCCCAAGAGCTGCACGAAGCACGTTGATTAGACTGAGAGCCATTTAGAGACTTAGGCGAAGACGGATTAGCTACTAATCCGGTAAGCACAGTGCCAACAGAAGACACCGATGCCACTGATGCTCTGGTCAAAACATCCAAACCGCCACAGCATTTTTTGAAGGAGCCGTTAGAAAGCTTTACAGCCTTACTCGCACAACTCTCATGGAAGAGCGATCTGCATCCCGGACAATGCACCGCGTCATTTACATTAATCGGGCCCTTAGATGGGCAGGAAAAACATTTATTTTCCGACATAATAATGCGCCAGGTACAAAAGTTCGTCACACAATTTAATAAAAGTCACAGTCACAAGCACGTTTAAACAACAATTGATTAATAATTAGACTATTAACGAAAACAAGTGTCATAAATAGAGATTAACACAGAGTCAAAAATAAACACAATGGCTTAAGCCAGACACAGACTAGAACGCAGACTAAACACGTCCAGCTCAGGCAATAGCTCAATGAACACTGTTTTACTCATATATTCGCTTCCGAAGGCCTTTTGCATCATTTCAATAGTTTCCGAACTCGTTTTTTCGAGTTGAAAGCAAAATTTGATGCAAATTCGTTGATCTTGTTTTTCAGTCATTTTTGACAATATCAAAATCCGACGAACGCGAAAAAGGCACTGTGAACAAAGACACGCTGCGCATGAACTATACGTCCGGCAGGTGTCAGTAAGTAACCAATAGATTCGTGAGGCTTTACTGTTGACGTTTCTGTCCGGTAGAGGTTGCTCGAACACTATGGCGCGAAGATATAAACGTTTGCTCGATACTTTCCGGACAGACCTCGTACGTCGGATGTTGCCATCGATCTTGAAGTTTACTCAGGAAGAGACGACCAGAATGTGGCGCGCGGAGATAATCAGGCCGTCAGATATTAATGGAGTAGCTCACCGGTCGTGGTGAAAAAGGCAGACGGGACGTATCGATTTTGTCTGGACTTCCGCCCAGTAAATAAAGTGACAAAGATCGATGCGTACCCGATGCCTAGTCTCGACTCAATTCTGGATCGATTGCGCGGCGCCGTATTTTTGTCAAAGGTTTATCTTAGGTCGGCGTTTTGGCAGATCCCCTTGGACGAAAAAAGTAAACAATTTACGGCGTTTGCGGTTCCGGGGATGGGACTGTGGAAGTTCGAAAGAATGCCCTTCAGCCTGGTAAACGCGCCCGCGACGTTCATGCTTTTCATGGACGCTCTATTCGGGCCGGAGTTTGCGCATAACGTTTTCTGGTATATGGATGACTTATTGGTATTGAGCGCGAATTTCGAGGACCACATGCAGTGGTTAGAAAGAGTACTGCGGCGTTTAGTTGAGGTAGGCTTGGAGATGAACCTTGAAAAGTCGAACTTCTTTTGTACGCAAGTGACCTATCTTGGCTATAGGCTGGACAGTGAGGGCCTGCGCCCAGACCCGGACCGGATTCAGCCGTTTATGGACTACCCGGCGCCTCGATCGATAGAACAGCATTGTAGATTCCTACGTATGGTGGGTTGGTACGTGAGATTTATCGAAAACGAAAGCGGCATAAAGGTACCGCTCACGAAATTATTGAGGAAAGATCATGTTGGGTGCTGGATTTTCAACAGCTAGATTGCGAGATAGTGCATAGGAAGAGTGCCTTGCACCATGTCCCGGATGCACTCTCTCGCGAGTTTGAGGACGAGGTAGAGGTCGGCGAATTTACGACAATCAAGGACTCTTGGTACCAGCGGAGACGCCAAGAAGTCCAAGAGCGGCCGGAGAAATATAAAAATAGGAAGGTAGAGGACGGCCTGTTGTATCACATATGACCGACTATCTGTTTGATCTGGTTACCAATCGTGAGGAGTGCTGGCGAATGGTCGGTCCGCTCGAGTATCGGGAAAGTGTTTTGCGGGATGCCCATTGCGCGCCCTCGGTCCAACATTTTGGACAGGACAAGATGTGCGATCAGGTAATAAGGGAATATTATTGGCCAGGGGTGCGATATGACGTGCAGACTTTTGTAAACCAATGTCAGGTTTGCCAAAAATATAAGGTCGAGCAGAAAGTATTAAAGGGGTTGATGGGAATACGGGTGATTGAGCGCCCTTGGGTGGTGGTTGCGACGGACACGATAGAGTTACCGCGAAGCAAGAATCGATTTCGGTATATGGTAGTCTTGCAGGATCTCTTTACTAAGTGGGTTGAGCTCATACCGTTGAGCTCTGCGGACGGAAAATCGCTCTCGCACGCGTTTGAGGAGTTGATCCTGTTTCGATGGAAAACGGTCGAGTACTTGGTTAGCTATAACGCGAAAGCTTATCAAAGTAAGGCGTTTCAGGATACGCTTCGAGAATACGGCGTTGAGCATGTATTCTGCCCCCCTTACCATCAACAGAGTGATTCAGTAGAGAGAGTTAACCGGACGCTAAATACTATGATAGCTATGTTCGTGGACAACGATCACCGGACTTGGGACCGCTACCTACACGAATTCAGGCACGCGATTAACACCGCGACCCAGTCTTCTACAAAGGTTACGCCGGCGTTCCTGAATTTCGGTCGAAATCCTCGGCCGGTGAGAAGCTTAAGGAGGAAAGTAGAGCGGCGCTCTCCCGTAATGAAGATCAAACCCGAGATTTGGCAAGACCGATTGCAAAGACTTAATGCTTTGCGAGACTTGGTGGGCCGTTATATCGAGAAAGCGCAGGAAAGACAGAAGAGAGAGTATGATAAGAGGCGAAGGGACGTAGTGTTTAGCGTAGGTGATTTAGTTTGGCGGAGGAACTACTCGTTGTCGTGTGCTGCGATGGGAACGAACGCAAAGCTAGACTCCGAATATACAGGATCGTATAAGATAGTAAGGAAAGTCTCGAACGTAATATACGAGCTGGAGACTGATAAAAATTATCGGATATCGACGGTTCATGTAAAGGACTTGAAGCGTTACATTCCGCCGCGCGGTGTGGGCAACGAATGGCGACCGACTGGCATCGGGTAATGAAGTGGACGCGTTGGATTATTATTTTTTATTTTTATTGATATTTTGACCGAAAAAGGACCAAATAACTAATGAGCCTTAAATTTACAGATGAAGAAAGAACTCACGGAGTTGGCTGCTCTGACTACCGAGATAGGCGTCGGGAGCGGGCCTTCCCCGAGACAGGACGAGACGACGGCCCCGGAACCCGAGAACACGGAGGCAAGTGTGGCCGAGCCTTCGTTACCTTTGGCTCAGCCCGAGCAGCCACTTGCCGGTCCTACGGAGGGTGACGGAGAAGAAGTGCTTCCGGACTCGTGCGACTTAGAGCGCACGCCCGGAGAGGTGGCTGTCATGATCCAAGAAATTCGGGGCACGCGAGCGTTGGGGCGAGCCGTGGCCATGGTCGCGGAGCTCTCGGCCTACCGCGTCCTGAGCGTGGGTCCAGGATTTTCCGAGGAGAAACTGGGCACCGAGGGAGGAGGGGTGGCCAGCCTGATCGTCGACAGCAATGCGGCGGAGATGGAATTGGAGGAGCTCCTGCTAAAAAGTTCTCTAGCGCAGCCGCAGGAGCTGGGGGGTGGGCGAGACGCCTGTGCGTGAATTCGCACGTCCGTCGAGCCCTGCAGGCTCTGCGGATCTGCCCGGCCTACCATCGGCGGCAACCGCGGACCAGCCCCGGAAAATGGATTTCACCAACGGGCGGCTGCAGTTGGCAGAGGAATCGACTCCGAGGATTGGAGCGAGCTCGACAAGGGCGACGGCAGTGGTGCGGCCGGAGGAGCAGATCTATGAACCCATGGAGTGGGTACCCTTGCACCGACAGCAGCTGGATCCCAGGTTTAGCTTCCGCCGGTGGGGGCGCACTCCGCCAGGATTCGGCGATGACGCGGAGAGGGCTGATCCTGCCTTCGGTCTCTCGGGGGAGCATCTTCACTCCCCA